CATCAGGTATTTTACAACAAAGAAGCATCACTCTTATAGTAAAGTGCATGCACGTGCATGTGCACATACACACATGTGCACTATAAAGGGTCTTATAAAAACGGGTAATAGGCCCTGGCTGGTGTGGCTCAGTGGACTAAGTGCTGGCCTCCAAACCAAAGGGTCACTGGTTTGATTCCCAGTCAGGGCACATGCCTGGATTGTGGGCCGGGTCCCCAGTCGGGGGTGTGTGAGAGGCAACCACACATTGATGTTTCTCTCCTTCTCTTTCTCCTTCCCTTCCCCTCTCTCTAAAAATAAATAAATAAATTTTTAAAAATATGCAATAGGCAAGCACACACATCCTTAGGATTAGATTCTGGATGAAAAAAACCTGAGAATGCCATCTTAGGATCAGTGGTCTTCTCCCTTAGCTGTTTTTCCTATTTTCCGTTTCCAAAACTTCTTTGATAGCTGAGGGGCGGTGCTCATTATGCCAAAGCTGCAGGCTGCTCAAACTCAAACTGGAATTGTGCCCTCTGGCACTTTAAAATCCTTTATATTCCTTTTCCGCTATGTGAGGATATACGTGTGCACAATGTCAACCCTTCCTCCATTGTCAAATTAATGAATTCTCTCTCACACACACACACACACACACACACACACACACACACACACACACACACACACAGAGGTGAACACCTATTATCCTAAAGTAAGTTGGGCAAAACGGGAGATACAGAGGCAAACCCTTTCCCTTCATAGCTCCCCCATCAAGGGCAGCATTGCTGGTCTGGCAGAAAACAGAATTGAGTCTTTTCCAACTCTCCCTCCTCCATCCAGTTACTACTCTCTTCAAAAGGGGAAGTCAGTGCTGAGCTCCTTCCTTTGCCAATCCCTTGTCAAACCCTTTTGCCAAAAAAGAAGGAGCCAAAGATGAACTTTCCAGGCCCATGACCGTCCCCAGATATTAGGACATATCTGATTCCTGGGGTCACAGAGTGAGGACAGGAAGCTAAAGTGCTCCCCTACATTCCATTTTCCTTGGGAAAAGCAATAAAGATCAGTTTGGTTTTTGTTAAGAAAAAGGCTGTCATTCCCAGAAGGAGCAAAAATTCTTTGTTACCATCATTTCCTTATCATCCCAGATGCTGAAAGAACACTTAAGCTCCTTATTTTTTTATTCCCCTTCATGTTCCAGACGCTAGCATTTATCCCTTCATGCATCCCTTTGGCACTCTGCTGGGTATGGGACCACCAGCAGAAGCCTACAACAATCTCTAGGGAAGTCTTGTGGGATAACATCTTTTTCTGTGAATTGGAGAAGGGAAGCAGATATTGGTCTCCCTCACACTTTGGCAGGAACTGAAGAACTTAAAGATTTGGGTCTGATGTCCTTTCAGTGGAGCCAGTTCAGGCCAGGGCCGGAGTGGTTGAGTATTCCGGGGGCAGTGGGTTGGAGGGAATGCCGGGAAGTGCTCTTAATGGGGGCTGAGGAAGTTTGAGGCATCCTGGGAACAGAATGTGCAGGCCCAGGCCCTGGAGCCATCCACAAACTCCTCCCACTTCCCTGGTCACTAACCAGTTCCAGCTGTGCACAACCCTAGCCACGGCTTCCCATCTGGCTTCTAGGAACTCATGACTAATTTAAAATGTACATGTGTGCGCGCGGGGCTCTTCTTAAAAACAGAGGTTTCCAGAGTAACGGCTTGGAAAGAACTCAATGCCATTCAGCCAGGGAAAGTTCCCTTTATCTTGGTTCCCTCAGGGCTCTGAGGGGAAAACCAGCAGCATCTATAGATCAAGAGCAGTGCCGACACTAACAACCTACCTTTTTCTCACTTCCAGTTTCCAGTTTCAGGCCCCACACTTGCCCTTTATATACCAGGATGCAGCCCTTCAGGCCACCGCATCTGAGTAAAGGTGGCTGTCAGGGTGGGAGGAGGGATGATGGTTTAGAGAATGGCTTCTCTTGGACTTAGAGACCTCCACAAACCTTTGTCGTCCACGCATAGCCCCATAGCCTCAGATCATTAGAAAATACCCTCAGAATCTCACCCAATCCCTTCTGTGACAGTTTAACATACTTTAATTTAAAATATTTCTATACAAACTCTTCTGCTGCAATCTGTGGGCAGAGACAGAAACCAGACTGCAGGAATGAAGCAAGTAAGCCAAAGAACCCAGGAGTTCTGTCTCTCAGAATCAAGTTCTCTTCTGGGGGCAGGCAGACCACATGCTCTAACCCTTCACATGCATTCCCACATGTCTTCCAGTGAGATGACAAATTCATAGGGGAAAAGAGCTGGGTCAGCCTGGCTCGGGGCCGGGGTGGGGGGAGGGCTGGCAGAAGGGATGGTCATGATGCCATTGTGTGAACAGCATTAGTCATGCAGTCCTTGTACTTATCTGCGGCTCCTGGCTCTAGGGGGTTTTGTGTGGGTGCCCCTGGAAACTCCTGGGAAGCTGCAAAGATCATAGCTTGAGCTTCAGGCTCTGCTGCTTCCAGCTGTGTGACCCAAAGCAACCAATTAGCAACTCATTTTCCTTTTCTATAAACAGTGATAATACCAGCCCTCAGAGTTGTTGTTGAGATTTCAATGAGTAAACGATTTGGCAACTTTTACTATTTTGCATTGTTTTCTCTTGAATCCTTAGTATCTAGAATGTGATTCCATATCCCATGATCTTCAAAGGCCAGAGTAAGTGCCCACTGCACACCTGGTCATCTTTCATGATAACCACCATCTCTCTTTCACTAACATACATTCCTAAACATCACCCACCTTTTTTTTTTTTCTTGTATGAGGTGCCTAAGGAAGGGAATAATCTACTATGACATTAATCTTACTTCACTGGTTTTCTTTGTATCCATCCTCCTTGTCTGTATTCTCCTCTCCCCCCACCACCCTCAGCTCCCGTCCCTCTCCCATTATCCTTACTATCTGCGCTTGCTTTCTCTTCCATCCCAGTCAGCTTCCAGGGGCTGAGGTTGGGCAGGCAGAGCTGGAGCCGAATTCAGAGCCACAGCTTCAAGTAAATGCATCAAAATGTTAGTAGTGGTTCCCTTTTGGGTAGAATTTACTGGTGATTTTCATTTTCCTCCTTGTTTATTTTGGCATTTTCCAAATTTACTATCATAAGCAATGAATAACTTTTATTTAGAAAAAACAATAAAGCTTTAATCAGAAAAATATAATTTTCAATTGGTCCACATCTTGTACTCAAAAGAAGAGGGGCTCAGGGGAAGGGTGGAGAAAGAGGCCTGCAGGGGGCTGAGCGTGACCTGGTTCCCCAACTCCATCATTTCCTGGGGGCATCAACCTTAGTGGTGGCCTCAGTCATGGCCTCTATGACTCATCAGTAAGAGGTTCTCTGTCCTCCTTTGCCGTCACTGGCCATTTGGGACTTAGTCACCTGATTGTTACCCAGTTGAATGCTGGCTGGGTCAAAGTGACCACCAGCGCTGAGGGCAGCAATGAGTCAGGAGTATCCCCAACCTCGATCCTGAGTTGTGAAGTGTTCCCCTGTAGTCTATCAGCTTTGCAGGCTGATGTTTGTGGAAGCACTCAAAATTGGAGTCCCGCTGAGAACAGGAGTTTAGTAACCCTTTCCCCCATTCCTATCACTGCTTCCCTGTGCATTTGAATGGGACGCCGATGTTGTGTGATATATAAATGATAGTGGAATCTTCCCAGGCCAAAACTCTAAGAGCCAGTGTGCATGGATTATGGAGACAGCAGTGGGATTCGAATATAGACAAGACCAGTTAGGAGCTCCATGTCCTTGGTCAAGTTCTCCTCTGTGGGTTTCCACTTCCTGTCACATAATTTTTCCTTCATAGGAGGGTTGTGAGAATTAAATGAGATAGTATAAATCAACTAACACACAGTAGGTTTCTAAAATTTAAGTTTTTTTCCTCCTCCTTATATAGCATTCAGGACCCTCTAAACTCTGGTCCTGATCATTCATTTGACAAAGGTTCATTAAGCACCACCTGAAGCACTGAGTTAGCCTGGGGTAGGCACTAGGGAGTCAGTGGTGAATGATATAGCATAGACCCTCAGCACTTACTGAGCACAGCTGGCTCTTCTCAGCTCTGCACTTTTACTCAAGACTGGCATTGTCCCCGTCTCTCAGTACTCTTTCGCACTATCCACCTTGTAGGCAGCCTCCAAAGTCTGCCTTCTCAGTGAACTTTCCCATAGCCCCATGACCCTTAGGACGGGCACCTCCTGCCTGGCGTCCTGGTTCCTCTCATTTCCGGTACTTGTGTTGGACTTACCCTATCTCTAAGTTCCCCATGTATAGGCTCCTGCCCTTTACTTCTTTGTGCCCTTGTTAACCCCTACCCCCACACCAGGCTCATTAAATTCTTGAAACCATGACTTTTTTCTTAAAGAAGATACAAGTGGGCTTAAAGAGCATTGAAATTCCCAGTTTAGTCTTGGGTGCAAAAAAATCTAAGACCTCAACCTTGATTCCTTCACCTGAAACTGAAGCACCTAAGCTGCTTTCTGCTGCCTAGCCTTTATTTTATTTTTTTTCCCTATTCCAAAGTAGACAGGGAGACATGAAGGTTGAAGATGAAGAGTTTGCTGACTCAGGGTCCCTTGGGGCACAGGAATGTCCAGCCGCAGGGGATGAGCATGGTCCCTGTCCCTAGTCCCAGCAGAGATTCTGCTTCTCATTCTTCTGGGATGCCCACCCTCAAGGACAGTACATGAAAAGTCTTCCCATCTCCAGCAGAAGATTCTGGGGCATGGGTTGGGGGATCTTTTTGACTCGGCACTCTGGCAGGTCAGGGGTTAATGGTGAATTACAACATATCTCTGGGCTGAGTCACCTCGAACTGCCACTCCCCCCAGTTCTCCTCCCCTGACATTTTATAAAGAGGACCAGAGACTGGAGCGTGAAAAGAACTGGGCCCCCCCACACCAAGCCCTGCTCCCTTACGCTCCCAGAGATCTCAGGGCAGAGGCCACAGACTGCTGCTGGAACTCCTGCTCGGTGGGACCATGAATTGGCAGCCGCTGTGGCTGGGCTTCCTACTTCCCATCACAGTCACAGGCCGGGCCCTGGGGCCTGCAGAAAAGGAGGGAGCAGTGGTGAGTCCCCTGTGTAAGAGGGACCCAGATCAGGAGAGGGACTGGGGTACTGGTCCACGGTCCCATCCAAGCCTCCTTCCTGCCCTTCAACCTGCCTGCCTTTCCCTTCCATCCTCTACTCTATGATCTACCCCTGCTCATCTCCCACTCCTTCCCCTTGTTCTACCTGAGCCCCTTTCCTGAGGTGCCTCTCCTTTAATCCTCCCATGTCAGTCCCCTCCTATCCTCATGGGCCTGCTAAGTCACTTAGAGGTTTTACCTGAGACTAACCCCCACCTCTATTATAGGATTACCTTTTGCAATATGGGTACCTACGGAAGCCTCTAGAAGGACCTGATGACTTCAGTCTAGAAGACATCATGAAGGCTCTGAGGTGAGAGGTCATAAGGTACCATAAGGTGAGAGGCCTTCAGGGTCAATGTTGCAAGGTCTTTCCCTCTTTTCAGCCCTTCTTCTCCCCAGGCTCACCTCTGCCTGACCAAATTCATGTTGGGATCTAGAGAAGGGGTGGTTATCACTACTAGGTTGGTGGGCATGGGGTGAGATGGGAATTCAAAGATGAGGAGCAGTCATTGGATCTTCTGAGGCTCTAGGGACTCCTTTGGAGACTCTACGCTTGATCTTAGCCAAAAGGCCAAGAAGAGATGGAGACTCTGCTTACGTTGTATTGAAATACTAACATTAAGTCACATTCCACATTAAATATAATTTATATGTAAAATTATGAGCTGAGTTGAGTTGAGTTGGGGTTGAGTTGTTGACCTGATGTTGCCTTTTGTAGACATTTAATTAATCATTTATTTATATTTTGAAGTTTTCTTTTTATATTTTGGATCTAATGGATCATTTTTGTTTGCTCTCAAATATGTTCACAGTCCCTTGAAAAGCCACAGTGCCTGCAGTGCCTGATGGATGAAACTGCTCCAGAGCAGGCTGAGCTGAGAGGGGTCTCCAGACAGGAGGGGAGAAGGCTGAGGGAAAACAGGCCCTCAGGTGGGAGCAGTGGTGGTAGTCTCCAGAGTAGGGAGTCAGAACATGTCTCCAGAGCAGGTTAGTTTGCAGTAGGAGGGAAAGCTACACCTGAGGGGATCCTTACCCAGATAAGAGACTGGAGATAGGGAGGTCAAGTTGGAATACTGCCATGCCTTCCAGAACAGAAGAGAAAGTCCCAGTTATGACAGCTGGATATGGAAGCAACCCCATCAGTTTCAGAGATTCTATGCTTTCTCGGCTATCCCTTTGGGCAGCAGGGGGCTGAAGAGCTTCCCCCGGTTCCCAGACATTGCAGGTTGCTGGACCTGTCCTTCTCTTGCTTTTCAGAGCTTTTCAGGAAGCATCTGAGCTTCCTGTCTCAGGTCAGCTGGACGATGCCACGAGAGCCCGCATGAGGCAGCCCCGTTGTGGTCTGGAGGACCCCTTCAATCAGAAGACCCTTAAATACCGGCTGCTGGGTGAGGCCTGAACCTGGGAAAGGGAGAGATAGACAGGCGTTGCATGAACAGCCTAGACTAGCTCAGTATTGAATGGATGGTCACTTGGTAACTACCTGGTCTTGCCTGGAGAGATTGTTACAGAGCTTTGCTGAGTGAATGCACAAACCCAGGGGAGCTCCCTGGGGTTGGCAGACGGATCCGTGTTTCTAATCTATTTTCTGGTCCAATAACCAGGCCGCTGGAGAAAGAAGCACCTGACCTTCCGTATCTTGAACCTGCCTTCCACCCTCCCACTCCACACAGCCCGGGAAGCCCTGCGTAAAGCCTTTCAGTACTGGAGCAGTGTGGCCCCCCTGACCTTCCGGGAGGTAAAAGCTGGCTGGGCTGACATCCGCCTCTCCTTCCATGGCCGTCAAAGCCTGTATTGCTCCAGTACCTTTGATGGGCCTGGTAGGTACCAGCTCTTGGCTCTCACCAAACGGACCTCTGAGATTATCTCTGTCCTTTTGAGCCAGGGACTCTGGATCCTTAATGTTTAGGCTGACCCCTATGCCCAGCTGCACCCTCCACTCTCTAACCACCTTCTGACATTCCCTTGGGGAGCAGCTGATCACCTCCCTGGGACCCTGCTAAAGGCACACCCCAGGGAAGACTAGGCCAGGGAGGGGAGAGTGGTTTGGAGGTGAAGTGACAGAATGTGGGCATCCCTATGAGAACTGGGTGATGACAGGGGAATCTGAAAGGAGAGAGAGAGGCATCCAAAAGACAGTGACCATAGATGTCACATAGATGGGAATTTTATGGGAATGGATAATTGGAGTTAATAACAGTCAGGGGAGCTCCAGCCTCGAAGCTCTGACCTCTTCCCTGTCCACCTTTGCCTTCATTCAGGGAAGGTCCTGGCCCATGCTGACATCCCAGAGCTGGGCAGTGTGCACTTTGATGAAGATGAGCTCTGGACTGAGAGGACCTACCAGGGGGTGAACCTTCGCATCATCGCAGCCCATGAACTGGGCCATGCCCTGGGGCTTGGGCACTCCCGACATACCCAAGCCCTCATGGCCCCTATCTACTCTGGATACCGGCCCCACTTCAAGCTGCACCCAGATGATGTGGCGGGGATCCAGGCTCTCTATGGTAGTCCTTTTCCCTAGTGATCATGAAGGTCGGTCTGACCAGCATCTCCTCAGGCTTGATGAGGCAGGTCTAACCTCCAGGGAGGGAAATGGCTTGGCTTATTTCTCTTCTTCCTGCCCTTCTATTCAGACTTCTATTTTCAGGAACTGTTTTTCGAACACTTCCATGTCTAGTCTTCCTTTGGGGCCTCTCTCCCCTCAGACCCATTCTTGTGGATGAAGAATGAAGATTCCAGCAAACCTTCCTCCTAAACTAAAGCATGTCTCCTGCTGATATCAATATTATCTTGCCTGCTCCCCAAAGGAACTTTCTAGGACTCCCTTTTCCCCTCTATGGGGCCTCTGAGCCAAATTTCAGAAGAGTGAGCAGGTCAGGAGTTTCGAGGTCTCTCTCTGAGTAGCATTACATTACCTCACAGGCAAGAAGAGCCCTGATATAGGGGATGAGGAAGAGGAGACAGAGCTCTCCACTGTACCACAAGTGCCCACAGAGCCCAGTCCCATGCCGGACCCCTGCAGTGGTGAACTGGATGCCATGATGCTGGGTAAGGCCCTTCCCCTGCAGGCTATAAGCAAGCAGTGGGGGAGCTTGCTGACCTTGAGACCTGGACAAATGAGAATGACACAGGATTGCAGCATGAGCAATGGAGGTTAGACACCAGGTAGAGTTAGTGGTCACAGAAGGAGGCATGTGGCATGGGGAGGGGGCATTCAGAGCCAAATTAAAGATGAGCCAGGCAGGCATTTACCTTGGTTGCTACCCTATAAGGGCCCCCAGAACACATCTGGAAATACAGCAAGATGGAGAGAACTATATTAACTGAAATGTCTATTAGAGACGGTACTATACCTGCATGGAAGGACAACTTGGAAGTCATTTAGAGTGGAGAGTGAGGTCCCCAAAGTAGAAGTACCTACCTGTAGAGTTTTTGTTTTGCTGAGTGGACCAGAACTCAGTTGCTCTGAACAACAAAGGAGAGGCTGAACTGCTGGTCCTGCTTCTCTGCCTGCTTAATCTTATTGAATTTTTTGAGGACCCAGCCTGTGGCAGAAGGGCAAATTATCAGCCTGCTTGAGATACCCACCAGTCTTTATTTGATCACTGTCTTTTTAATTTGTTGACACACCTTTGCTCTCAGGGCCCCGCGGGAAGACCTATGCCTTCAAGGGGAGCTACGTGTGGACCGTGACAGATTCAGGGCTGGGTCCTTTGTTCCAAGTGTCTGCTCTTTGGGAGGGGCTCCCAGGAAACCTGGATGCTGCTGTCTACTCTCCTCGAACACAATGGATTTACTTCTTTAAGGGTAAAGGGACTAGTTTATGTGTCTTACTTGAGGAGGGCCTGCCATCAAAGAAGCCATAAAAGGGAGAGAGAGATGAGAAGTTTCTGAGAGGGTGGAATGGAGGAATCAAAAAACTATCCCCTGAGGACAGAGGTGACTTGTTCTTACATGTTCTCAGGAGACAAGATGTGGCGTTACATTAACTTCAAGATGTCTCCTGGCTTCCCCAAGAAGCTGAATAGAGTAGAACCCAACCTGGATGCAGCTCTCTATTGGCCAGTCAACCAAAAGGTGTTCCTCTTTAAGGTATAAAGCAAGGGCAAATCCCTTCTTAAGACTGGTGGGTTACCTCACACAGAGAAGCTAACACTGCTGAAGGGAGATCTGCAGCTGCAGTGGGCTGGGGGTAGACATCTGGGGTCCGTAAGCTCTAACTCATCATCCTCTTCTCCTTACCCATCCCACACCTAGGGCTCCAAGTACTGGCAGTGGGACGAGCTGGCACGCACGGACTTCAGCCGCTACCCCAAACCAATCAAGGGGTTGTTTACAGGAGCGCCAAACCAGCCCTCAGCTGCTATGAGTAGGCAGGATGGCCGTGTCTACTTCTTCAAGGACAAACAGTACTGGCACCTCAACAGGCAGCTTCGAGTGGAGAAGGGCTATCCCAGAGATACTGCCCACAACTGGATGCACTGTCACCCCCAGATCCCAGACACTACCCCATCAGGTGGAGACCTCCCCCTCAGCCACAGGCCCTGACCACTCAGTCACAGGAACAACCTTGGATACCACTTCCTCATCCACAGATACCACCTTGAACACTGACCACTTGCCCAGAGACACAATCTTGGATATGACCCCCTCAGCCACAGGATCCACCACTCTTTTATTCCCTGGTAATGTCGCCCTTCCAGAGGCCTAAGACCTGAACCAAATGTCTACTCACTAGACTGCAGACCCATGCAGGGGCATGAGACAGAGACCTCAGACCTTTAAATGTCCCAGCTTTAGCCACCATTCCCCTGTGCTCTGGGTCAGTCCCCAGCTCTATCCACTTCTTCCCATCCTAGATAGCACTTGCAACTGTGTTATCTACTCTCTGGAAGACAGTGAGAGAGGGAAGTTTTCAATTGGGCCTAATGAGACAACAGCTGGAAAGCTGAATGCCTGGGCCTCGTTCTTCCTAGATCGAGTGCAAGAAAACAGCATGGCCAGTAAAATGAGCAAGGGTTTTGGAATCCTTGAGAATCACATTTGCTTGTTTATGACTTGAGCAAGTTAACTAATCTCACTGAGACTCAGAGTTGCCATCTGCAAAATGAGGTGACCAACCCTGCGGGGTTATTGCATTAAATGAAATACTATATGTGAAGTGTCTGACAGTGTCTGGCACATTTGTGCTTAATAAAGCGTAAGTCCGTGTTCATAAGAGAGGACCGAGCAACTCTTCCTCTGGCTGTTTGTGTGTTGTTCCTACAGTAGCCCAGTCTGCTAAGGGAACCCTTACCAAATCTTTAGTTGACAGAGGACTTTTCAGTATGGGTAACTGTTTGTTCTGGGGTGCAAAGAAAGAAAAGAGCAGCAAGAGTAGAGGCTGGACTCCCTGATTCATTGTTCAATGCCACTTTATTCACACACTCCCATGTTCTTCCTCCCTCCCATCATAGCCTTGCTGCCAAGGGGAGGGGATATATATTCTTTCATGCTGTCTAGGGAACAGGGAACTGACTTTGGGCAGGAGAGTCACAGCGGGGAGAGTTAGAGTGGGTTAGTGTCTGGGACCAAGTTCTGGTTAAGGACGAGATTAGCATCATCTACAATGAGAGGCAGAGAAGGCACTTGTCTCCCATGCAGCCTGAAGACCAGGCTCCTTTGGGCAAAAGGGCAACACTCTGGCATGTGGGCCAATGCTCCCTCCTCGGAGCAAGAAGTCGGCTTTTAGCAGAGATGGGGGCTGAACCAGGCACTGCCTCATGGTCTTCCCCACGTCAAGGAGGAGAGAAAGGGAAGCACCGTGGAGGCCAACACTCCCAACTGAGGTAGGAGAAGGAGGCTTGAGCCTATCCGGGGCCCGGGAGGAAAGGCTAATCAGGAATCCAATTATCCCCTAATGAGGGGCCTGGAGATTGGGAGATTCTGGAGCTCCTCTGTGCTCTTCTCCCATTCAAAAAGATATCAAGTGCTTTAGGAGGCTTCCTGATTTTCCAAAGCTCCTACAAAAAGAAAACTCCTTATTTTACCTTGTGTGGCACACTGATAAGAGTATATAAAAGGTTATCTGCGTAAGGCCCCCCGCCTTGACTTGGAAAGAATGAGGGAGTCAGTTTCTTTAGGGACCAGGGCACCTCTATTATTGGACAGAGGTAGCTACTCATACTTCCATTCCTCTCTCCTCTATAAGATTCTTCTCTGTTTCTGAAACCTTTCTCTACAGGGATGATCTAGCTTGGAGCACAGATTCCATCCCCAAGTCTAAGAGGTGGGGAAGTTTGTGTGTGGGTCCTGTGGGCTCAGGCCCTGCCTACCTAGTGTTCCCACGCCCTTGCTAGGAGGGTGGGGGTATCAGTGGAGGTTTAGGCTCAGGTCTGGGTGGAACCAGAAGGTGTGGTGAGAGGAACGGTGGAACCGCAGTCAGAATCCAGGTCCAAGATGGTGTGGGGGGCTGTGGCCTGGCTGCCTGGTCCCAGTTGGCGCTCTCGAAGGCTCTGGAGATAACTCTGGAGGGACACAGGGTGGAGAGGACAGACAGAATGGTCTGGGTCAGTCCCTGCCCCACCCTGACCATCCCCATGTACCCTCTGCTCCATCCCCCAGAGTGCCCCTTTCCCCCCCACCCCCGACTCACAGGAGCCAGGCTGTCAGCAGGACTCCGGGCGTTGGTGGGGAGCTGTCTCCGGTAGCTGCCCTCACAGAGCCCCACCGCAGGGGAGGTCCGGTGCCACTTGGCCTCTTGCTGACGGATGCGAAGGAGTTGGAGATGCCTTCGATGGTGGCTCAAGACCACTGCTTGGGAGGGGGCAGTACAGACTGAGAGAGGCCTCTTTAGACCCCAAGTTCTACCTCCAAACGCTCTCACACTACAAGAGAAGTCCATTTGATCTCTTTGTTCCAGCTCTATCACACCTCATCTTCCCCCCAGTTCTTCTAAAAGAAACCCTTCTTTTGAGTCTTTCCTACTTGAGAAACCCTTCCTTCTCTCTCCTAGACTTTCCTGAGGTCTCCCTTTTCTTCCATAACAGTCTCCAATAACTCTTCTCTGCTCCCCTGACAAATTTCCTTCTCATTCTTACTCAGACCTTTGGTTCCTCCAACTCTACCTTCCTTTCAATGTCCTACCCCATTCACCTTAGATACCTCCACCCTCCTCTCAAGGGTATTTCCCCCCTTCCCCTCCTCAAGTCTGGGACCTGGGGACAGGAGAAGGCACAGATTGGCTGCTGCTGTACCATGGCACTAACTTACCATTAGCGTGGCCTCCATGTTCCTCATCCATGAGCTTCCATTGGGCCAGTGCCCCAAGAGCTCCCAGGGCTGGCCAGGTCCCCAGCAAGACCCAGCTATACCAGCAGAGAGGAGGCAAGGCTGGAAGTGCCTGCAAGCGTTGGCCCAGCCGACTGCCCAGTGCCAGCCCTTCCAAGAAGTAGTCAGCACAGGCCACCAGCACCGCAGCACCCAGCAGGGCTGTGCCCAGAACTGTGAATGGACGTGGCCACCGAAGCGTGAGCAGGGCTCCCAGCAGTGCCAGCCCCACCAGCCCCCCGGCCGGCACCCAGGCTGAAGGTGGTTGGTAGAAGGGTTCGGTACCCAGCAGGGCCCCGGCGCCCAGGGTTAGGCCTAGCAGGAGACCAGTCAGGAAGAGCCCGACACTGCGAACCAGCATGGTGACCAGGCCGCAGAGGAGTCCGATGCCCAGCGCAATGCCCGCGCTCACCTCCAGGCTCAGCTGTGTCTCTAGCACTCGCTCCTTGTGGCATAGCAGGAAGATCACCAGAGCTCCTGATAGCAGGCCCGAGAGAAACATCACTGCCTTGAAGCAGCGGTAGCCTGGGAAGGGAGGCAGGAGGCACTGAGAGGCGGAAGGGATGGCGGGTCCACAGGGATGGCGCTGATGCTAAGCAGAGGAGCAGATAACAGGAGCGGCACACCCAAGGACCTCAAGGCGAGGGGCAGAAAGGGATAACCTCAGGGAGAGCAGAGAGTGTGAGGCGATGGGAAAGAAAAATCAGGAGGTAAGATGCATTGAGGGGAGTAAGTATAGAAAGAAGGTTTAATCCTTCCAGGGATAGTAGATGAGAGAAGTGAGCATAGGCTGATTCAGGTTATTGGGGAAGAGTGAAGAAGCATTAAACATGGAGGATAATTTGGGAATGGAGTTTTGAGATAGAAGGTAAAGGGAAGGTAAGTGAGAGTGCCAGGGGTCAGAGCTGGAGGGCATGGGTAGGGGGATGAAAAGGAAAAGCTGGCAAGAGCAGCATGGGCCATACTGAAGGTAGGCATCCCCTGATAGAGTAGAGGTAGCCCAGGAACAAAGATGAAAGTTAACATCATCCTTGAGGGTGACAGCCTTGGGCAGCTGCCCCCCAGAGCCCTGGCTCTGCCCTCACCGAAGCAGCAGTAGATGATTCCAAAGCAGCAGCAAAGAGCACACACCAGGGCAGGTGCCAGTTCAGGATTGTCCTGGGGTTCCAAGAGACATCTTGGATCTGGAGGCTCTGGGAGTTGTTGATTAAAGGGCCTGGGGTCAGAGGTCATGGCCAGGGGCAGCAAAGCTTCCTCCATGGCAGGAAGAGAAGGTGGTCACAGATGGGGGAGGTCAATGTCAGCTCCTCTCATCCATCCATGAATGTCTTGAGGGGGTTGGGAAACCTGCAAGGGGGTAGGGGGCAGGAACTCAGGTGCCCATGAATCTTGAGGACTTTGTATCTCTATTTTTTTTTAAAGAAAGGCCAATTTCTGGGGTTGAGGGGAGCCAGCTGTCTCTTTACTACTCTCTGCAACAAGGAAGCTAAATAAAACTTAAATGAAAAATCTTACAAGGTAATGAGCCATGTCTGTCCCCTAGCTTTCCAGGGTAGGGTGGGAGGAGTAGGATGTCCTAAGGTCAGTGGAGGGAGGTGTCCAGGGGCACTAGAGGGACTGGGGGCTAAAAGCCTAGCAGCCTGTTCCAGCTGAAAAGAAAGCTTTGCCCACATCTGCAGCTGGGACTCAATATTACCCCACAGGACTAGGAAGGGTGTGGTTAATAAAGGGGGGAGAAGGAGGAGAAAGAGGAGAGAACGAGTCATGGTGGGGTCTCCTGACAGCTGCTCCAACCCCAGAGAAGGGGGAAAAAACCCCAGGCAACCAAAAGAGTGGGAAAAGGAATTAAGTAGAGATAGCCATTCACATTTGTCAGGGTTCTGAAGCCTCCGCGTCTTGAGGAGATGGAGTTGTTGGGGAAAGGGACATCTAATCACAGTCCAACTCCAACGAACCCTCATGGAATAAGCGGGCACCTTGCCCACAGATATATTACAGTACTGGTAGCCTCTTACTCCTCCCCTCAGGACACTGGGACTTTTCCTACCCCTCCCTTTCCCCAGCGTTGTCAGGGCTGCCAAGTGGGGTTTGAATTCAGTTTCTGTGACAACACCAAGGAGGGGCTGGCATTAGGGGCACTTTGGGACTGGGGTAGGGTGGACGCAGGTACATTCCTTCAGCTATCTTCTTTTGGACATCAAGGTCCTAACAGGCTGGAGGGTTAGCTTGGGGAATCCCTAGGGCTGCTCTTCTCAATCCTCTTGGAAGCCTAGGGACCCTCAATACGGAAAGGTTAGAGAGGGGGTGTTAACTACTCACCACCCTGCCAGGGCTGAGGAGAGGAAGGGGGTAGAAGTGCTTCCCTAGACCCCCAGCTGCATCCCTGCCCGGAGATCCTAGGTGTCCGGGCGACTGTCAGGCGTGGGCACCCCCAGGGCCACTCAGTTAGTTTCCCCTTAAACTCTTACAAGTCGTAGCCCAAGCCCCGTGAGCTAAATGCAACCAGCTTTGGGGGGTGGGGTGGGGTGGAGGAAGGGGACAGGGTAGGGGGGTGACATCACGGGGCAGGCCCCTCCAACTCTTTCCCTTGTGTGTGGGGGACCCAGTTTGCCTACTGCTCCAGGCTGGGACCAGAGAACCTCCCCCAACCGTAGCAGGAAAGAGTTATGGGTGCACAAGAAGTTTAGATAAAGGTCTCTGAATTACTTAGGCAATGACTCGAAAACTAGAAGCTCTCGAAGCTTCCACTGGGGTCTCAGCGTCCCCCTCGCTCCGGCTTGGTTTCTTCCACTTCCCAGAGAATTGGAGTATTGTCTTTCTGGAGAATCTGGTGGTTCGGACTGGGGATTCGGGGAAGGGGGTCTTTCTGCTCTGGGGGCGCCGACGAGGTGCATGGGTGGACAAACCTGCGGAGTAAGAGTCTGGAAGGGGGACTAACGAGAGAGGCGTGTGCAGAGAAGGGGACCGACAAAGAGGGGACCCGAGACGGGTCTGCGTGGGGGAGGGGGGCGCTTGTCGACGTCGACGACCAGCTCGGTATGCAAATGAGATGTAAAGCAGCATGCAGATGAGTGCAGTGTTTTTTGGCACGCCGCTCTGGTCCGGAGCCCAGCGGAGCTACGCTCTCAGCCCCCGAGCCCCGATCGGTGACGGTGTCTGAGAGCTGTGTCCAGAGGGGCGGGTCAAGGCCGTGGGGGCTGCAGTTATACGGAGCAGTTCGCCAGCTGGTTCAGGAGCTGGGGAGGCGGAGGGTTGCTGGGAAAGAAGGCACAGCGCTAGGGGGACCAGGGCGGAGGCTGGCCTTGGGTGTCTTCTCCTCGATCCAAGGAGAGGACATGATACAAAAGGGCCTCTATCCTAGCACTGCCAGCAGTGAAGGGATCAGGGTGGTGACTCCTCAACGCTCCCTAGTTGTGTCTGCAAGACAAACAGTTCGTGGCTCGGTGGCTGTCCTCTATCTCCCAGTCTCGGTAAAGCCCAAGAATCCAACCAGAGGAACCCTAAGAATACCCCCAGACCGCAGGCACTGCTGCAGCACCCATTTGCTTCGCTTCCAGAGGTGCAACTTGAGGGGATTCCGCTCCAGCACGCGGAGGACCGCAGCAGAGGGCCCTTTAAGGGGCCGGGCCAGTACTTCCCCTGAACCGCCTCCTCTGATTTGACCCCCGCTTGCTAGACTGGTTAACGCCTCCACCGACCGCTTTTTCTTTTCCTTCCTGTCTGTTCCTTGGTAACCCTGGAAGTGGAAGTAGGCTTAGGTCGAAGGCTGCGGCGGGGACGCAAGGCGGAAGAGCGGAGCGGGAGGCGGAGCCGGGGTAGCTGCTCTCGTAGCGCCCCCTGGCGCTGGGCCCAGCTGCTACAGGGGAGGAGTTACTGCCGCTGTTCGGTACGTTGTCTTCCAACCCATCTATCTTTGGGACAACCAGCTTTTCCTTCCTCCCCCAGCTTTTCTTTAAGGGCTGCACGGTGCACCCCCTTTTCAAGCAGCTTATGGCCCTCCTTTCCGATCGTCCTTCCCTTTTTCCCAAGAGTGAGCCTAGGACCACACCCTTTGCCGTACCTCCCTCTTTCTCGGATTCGGGACCAGATTCAGGATCGTAGGTTTCAGGGGGTGAGAAGAAAACTTGAGTGGATTTAGAGGAGGCGGCAGGGAGCAGTGTTGTGGTTAAGGTAGTATTGGCTTATTGCTAGGGGTAATGAATACCCCAAAGGAACCTGGGAAAACAAGGGAGGTGGATGCATTAAATATGTCCACAGTTTAAGATTATTTAACCTCTTTCTTGATCTTATCCTTGATTTTTCACACCTTGATACCTTTGTTACAGGCATCAGAACTTACCATGATGGCTGTGACTTAAAATCTTCAGGAACCCCCGGGGTCATGGCCCAGAAGCACCCCGGACAAAGAGGGTTGTGTAGAGCCCACCACAGTAGTGGTGCCTCTCTTGGGACTTTAGGACCCTCTGTAGACCCTGAAATACTTTCATTCTCAGGACTCAGGGACTCAAGGAGGCCTGCTCCTAATGGTACCCGCTGCCTCACAGAGCACTCTAGTCTTAAGTACACTCAGCCCCCAAACCCAGCTCACTGGTCGGATCCAAGCCATGGTCCCCCAAGGGGTCCAGGACCCCCTAGAGATGGAGAGGACCTTGATCAGAGTGAGGCATCTTCAGAAGAAGAACCAGGAGTGGACCAGGAACTCTCAAGAGAGAATGAGGATGGGCACCAAGAGGATGGGAACCCTTTTCTTTCTGTTCCATCTTCTTGCAACTGCCAGGGAACCCCTGGAATCCCTGAAGGGCCTTACTCTAGGGGAGGAGATAACTCTTCTAGCAACTTTTGCCACCACTGTACCTCTCCAGCTTTGGGGGAAGACGAGGAGTTTGAAGAGGAATATGATGATGAGGAACCCAAGTTCCCCAGTGATTTTTCACGTATGCCCAGTGGAAAGAAACCTCCACCCCGGAGACAGCGGCACCGTGTTCCAGCCAAGGAGGATACACGGGAGGGTGGACGGAGAGATCCCAGGACCCCTGGTCGACATCGGCTGGGCCGGAAACGAAGTCAGGCAGATAAGCACAGAGGCCTGGGATTATGGGGAGCAGAAGAACTGTGTCAGCTTGGACAGGCAGGCTTCTGGTGGTTGATTGAACTGCTGGTATTGGTGGGAGAGTATGTGGAAACTTGTGGTCATCTCATCTATGCATGCAGGCAGCTGAAAGGCAGTGATTTGGACCTTTTTCGAGTCTGGGTGGGAGACTGGGCAGGGCAGCTGGGGGGTTGGGCCCGGGTGATGTTCCAATTTCTGAGCCAGGGATTTTGCTATGGGGCAGGGCTCTTCACCCGTTTTCTTAGGCTACTGGGTGCTTTGCTGCTTCTGGCTCTGGCCCTCTTCTTGGGCTGTCTGCAATTGGGTTGGCGGTTTCTTGTGGGACTAGGTGACCGGTTAGGCTGGAGGGGTAAAGCCACCTGGCTCTTTTCTTGGCTGGAATCTCCCACCTTGCAGCGTTGTCTGATTCTGCTGAGAGATAGCAGGCCATGGCAGCAGCTCGTAAGAATAGTTCAATGGGGTTGGCTGGAGTTGCCTTTGGTCAAACAGAGAACTAATAGGCAGGGGGATGCACCTGTAGCGAGTGGTCGCTGCTGCCAGCCTGAAGAGGAAGTGACTAGGCTCTTGACCATGGCCGGGGTTCCTGAAGATGAGCTAAACCCTTTCCATGTGTTGGGGGTTGAAGCCACAGCATCAGATGTTGAACTGAAGAAGGCCTATAGGCAGTTGGCAGTGATGGTGAGTATCCTTTCCGTTTCCTGTCCCTCTTTTGTTCCTATATTTTATTTTCTAATTTTAGGGAGAGTAGAATAAAGGGAAGGCAGAGGAGAAAGTCAATTTTAAGTTGAAGAGTAACTTTTCCATCTCTACTATAGGACCTGACTTTCTCTTCATTTTAAGTTTTTTTGTCATGCGATTCCTTTTCTTAATGAAAAGAAATGAACCTGATATATCAGGCAGTATTGGATTCATTCACCCTGAAATACCAACATGAAGTCCCTCTAACTAGAGTGGAGACAGACCTATTCAGAAGGCTTGTCAGTTTCTCTCCCTGAACAAATGAGGGTTTTTTTTTTTTGGTTTTCTTTTTTTGACGGAGAAATCCAACAATGTGTCCTAGAAAGGCAAGTGTGGACCTAGTATGGGACAGTTCAGGGACTGCATGTGATTACTCCAGAATCAGGTGAAAGAAAACAAGCTATTTCAAGCCCAGCAACCCAGAATGGGAAAGGGCAGAAAAAGGGAACAGAAATCATAGAGATATGTTAATGTATGTCATACATAAAAATATGGTTGCTTTTGATAAAAACGGAGTTATATGTGGGAGTTGTGATGCACCACATTCTTGAAACAATTTAATAAAAGCATGCAAATTGCTATTAGAAGTTGATATTAGGTTGCTCTTTTTAGATATGATTGTTATGGCTATTTCTGTGTATGTAAAACTATATTATGTTAGGTAATATGTATAAATTATACTGGAGTTCTGTTTGCCTGAATGTATGGAACTGAACCGATAAAATATCATAATGTGCAGATTACCTCAACAGTTGATGACACCAGGGCAACCATGGTTTCTATTAACCATTCAATTTACCAGAGGACTCAATTAGTTTGGTGGAAAATGCATGCCCCGCAGTGGAAAGTCTGAGTGGGGAACAACTACTTACACTCAAATTCTTACTAGTAGTAGAGCTCTTTTCTCACCTTAGTGTCTTTTAGCAGATATCCTCTCTTGGGGAATATCATTCTTCCAAAAATATCTCATTTTCAACTTAATTTCTTGGAGTAGAGATGATGTTAGGTTCTCTGATTCTCCACACCCCTGCCCCATGCCCCAAAGTTTCCCCTTGTTCTGGGTCAGTGTTTGTAGGCTTCTTTAATAGAACCTCTCACTGCTCTTTTTAGGCCCCAGAGAGATCATGACTAAAGGGATGTTCCATATGCTTGGAATATGGGAGATATAACAGCATTCTGCTTATTTGACATCAGTTAGGAGGTTAGCTCTATCTCTGTATTTTGGGGGAGGATGGGAACACTAAAGAAGTGTAGAGAGAGCCTATTATTTGTCTTGTAGAAAAGGCTGAAAAGTGGATAAAAGGCCTGTATCATGATATGCTATTTCATTTCTGGGACAGATAGGGAAATGTTGTAGGAAGTTTTGAGTAGGTAAGAGAATTTTCTAGTTAGAAAAGTGTTTGAGGATGTAATATCTTTGGAACTCTTACTTTATAACTGACAATGAAGTTAAAATGTGAGGGCTTAGTATGCATGTGCCAGGTCAGGTGACCAACCATCCCTGTTTGCCTGAGATTGAGGGGTTTCTGGAGACAGGAACTTCAGTGCTAAAACGGGGACAATCCCAGGTGCACTGGGATGGCAGATCATCCTAGTACAGATTCTGTGCTATATACTTCACATGTATTCTCATTTGATACTCCCAACAATCCATGACATAAAATATTCTAGGTCATGGAGCTAACAGTGACAGAGCTGGGGGACTTGAACTGAGATCTGTCTGCAGAGCCAGTGCAATTAATTATTAAGCTATACTGACTATCCAAAAGGGTGGTAAGAGAGAACCATTTCATGTGAAGTTTTGACCCATAATTGGGAGACGGTTGGAATGGGTCTGTGATGAAATCTTTGTCTTGGTAGGTTCATCCTGACAAAAATCATCATCCCCGGGCTGAGGAGGCCTTCAAGGTTTTGCGGGCAGCTTGGGACATTGTCAGTAACCCTGAAAGGCGGAAGGAATATGAGATGTAAGTTGGAGATGGGAAATTGTCAGGTGGGGTAAAAGAATAATTTTCAATAGCAGAAGTCCCTGGACTTAGGGGTGGAGGCTCTGAGGTGGAGAGAATTGAGGTTGCTTATCTTTTGAGCAGGCCACAGGCCTTAAGAGGCCAATAGATATCTCTGTCTCCTTTTATCCCTTGTTCAATACCCTCTGATTTACAAAGCCTTTCTTCTCTTAGGAAACGAATGGCAGAGAATGAGCTGAGCCGGTCAGTGAATGAGTTTCTGTCCAAGCTGCAGGATGACCTCAAAGAGGCAATGAATACTATGATGTGCAGCCGATGCCAAGGAAAACACAGGTATGAAAGAGACAGGAATAGGACAGCCACAGTTTAAGGCCTGGGTTGCCAAAAACCTTCTTTGTGAGTAGTATTGGTAGTTGGTGGGATACATATGGTGAGTAAAAAAACCCTTAGGTTTCCACTTCTGCCATATTGTCAAGAGACTGGGGATTTGAATTAGTAAGAAAAAAATACTTTTCAGCTTTAAGATAGAAGATTGAGAGCAGGATATGCATAGGCATATGTAACAACTGAGTGGAGATAATTTTACATCTTTCAGCCACATTTGTCAGTTAACGATGAGACTACAGCAACATCCCAGGCTTGACAGATTATTAAGGAATTATCCTTCTGTTGGGTTGCAGAAGGTTTGAAATAGACCGGGAACCTAAGAGTGCCAGATACTGTGCTGAGTGTAATAGACGACATCCTGCTGAAGAAGGAGACTTTTGGGCAGAGTCAAGCATGTTGGGCCTCAAGATCACCTACTTTGCGCTGATGGATGGGAAGGTGTATGACATCACAGGTACGCTTTTGTTCTCTAGAAATATGAGCTCATATATACATAAAACTGTGATGTATTGTTAATTATTTCTCATGTTTGTAGAGTGGGCTGGATGCCAGCGTGTGGGAATCTCCCCAGATACTCACAGAGTCCCCTATCACATCTCATTTGGTTCTCGGATCCCAGGCACCAGTGGACGACAGAGGTAGGTGGTATTTCTTTCAATAATCCACCCACTATTCTGGTTCTGAATATGGTCTCAAATGACGTGGTGTTTAGGATACCTAGGTGTCTCACTCCTTAAAAAGTTTGGTAATTGACTGAATACATCTTTCTTTTTTTTAAACATTTTATTTATTTATTTTTAGAGAGAGGGGAAGAGAGGGAGGGAGGGAAACATGAATGTGTGGTTGCCTCTCAAGCGACCCCCCACTGTGGACCTGGCATGCAACCCAGGCATGTGTCCTGACTGGGAATCAAACCGGCAACCCTTTGGTTCTCGGGCTGGCACTTAATCCACTGAGCCACACCAGCCAGGGCTCAATATATCTTTAAATTAGGTATTAATAGGCAACATAAGTAACCACTTGACTTAAAAAATCTCCCGTTTCATGATTCTGTTTTCCTTCCAGAGCCACCCCAGGTGCCCCTCCTGCAGACCTTCAGGACTTTTTGAGCCGGATCTTTCAAGTACCCCCCGGACAGATGTCCAATGGGAACTTCTTTGCAGCTCCCCATTCTGGCTCTGGGGCCACTGCAGCTTCCAAGCCCAACAGCACAGTACCCAAGGGAGAAGCCAGACCGAAGAGGCGGAAGAAAGTGAGGAGGCCCTTCCAACGTTGACACTTGTTTTCTTCCTTCCTTAAATCAATGTCAGGGAGTCAAAAGGGCTGTGTACAGCACAGGATGGAGTTTGATTTATTTTTAATTATTTAAAAAAGGGAAAATTTTAAGCTCAAATTGTTCACTCAGTACTTGTAGGAAGCTCCTGAACCACTCTCCCTCCTCCACCAGCACCCAGGAACTGAATCTTGTCTTCTGACAATACCAAAGAAATAGGGGATGGCTAGAGCAAAGAACCTAGGACATTGACCTGGACTGGATAATACCTCCTATAGTAGGGTGGGGACTGGGTATTTCCCTGGTGTCTGTATGCCTTTGTCTTGTCTTTTGCTTCTATAGCAGATGACACTTTCCCCCCCTTTTTAAAATTATGAGTCTCTCTTATTTCTTGACCCACTTCAGGAGTGAGCCTCCTCCTTTAGCCCAATGTAATACTTAAGAGAACAAGAAAATATGTAGCCCCAATTAAGGAGACACATCGAGTTCAGCAAGTGGGAACTCTGAATTTTTCCTCTTTCACCTTGTGGGTAACTGCCCAATTTCATGCTTATTGCTGCAGGGATGGCCCAAGCTAATAATTTTTAAAAATCAAATTTACGCCCTCTGCCCTTGGGTGAGGGGGAAGGATAAAGGGGCTCCTGGCAGCCCCCTTATGATCCAAGGGTTTGTATTTTTTTAAGTTTGTTCACATTTGTATGTACATATCTATTTAAAGCCAGGGAATTATCTTTCTATAAATATGTAACTGGCAACCTGTTTCTTTCCTCTCTTCTTTGCTCTTATAATAGCTGGTATCTCTTTTCTCATTTGAGAATCCTTTCTCTGTGTTAGATGAGAGTGAAGGGCACCTCCTATGGAACAGAGGGAGAGGGGATAAAAAACACTTAGAGAAGATTTGTGCAGTAAGTCACTGTTCCTTCTTTCCCCCCCAGCCTTATGAGGACATCTCCCTACTCTTCTGTGCTGACCAAATAGTAGCCGTATCTGAAAAAAAATTACCTTTATTATAAGGAAAATATACAGCAAAACAGAGCTGGAAGGTGATGGGGTGTAAGCTATGGAAAAACTTAATCACCAAACAAGTTGCCCAAACATGGCCTCCTGTGGAGGAGAGTTGTTTAGTCCCTTATCTCACCTGCCTTTCCTGATTCAAATAAACCTCCTCCTAGCAGGGCTAGGCCCAGGAAGCCCCGTTTTTCATCCCATTCTGTTCTCTTCCTGGGAGTCTGGGAATGGTATACTCAGGCTTTCAAGATACAGAAGACAGTACAGAGAAGGGAAAGATGTTACAGACTTTTGTTCCAACGTCGTCCTCAGCTCCATCCCTCAGTATTTATTGATGCCAAAGAGACGAACCCCATGAAATTGGGGCAACTTAGGCAGCAGTACACTGAGCAATGAGGCTGTGTTGATGAGGAAGTGAGCAGCATCATACTTGGTATAGAAGCTGGCTAGGAGGTAGCTGGGGAGAAAAGAAACAGGTTGAGTGAAATTGGCCTTCCCTATCCATATTCATGGCTTTCCAGCGATTGTCTTTTCCATTTTAAATGACCAGTTTTATTGCATGTAGTCCTAGAATATCTCAAAGTATCCTAGGGATTGGGGAGATCACCTTTAACTGGAGATTTGTAAGTTAATGTGTTTGATTGTTAATGACATTTGGCAAATGACAGCTGAAGCAGTTTCAGCCTGTATGACTGTTAAGTCCTCTTTGCTTCCACTCCCCACAAAGTTTTCACAGATTTACATCAGTTCTGCCTTGACTGATCTTTTGGAAATGTCAAATCATTTGGGTTTACTTGGTTTTCCAGTCCCTTCTCCACTCTCCTATTACCTAGGAGGCAGCAACAAATGCTTGATTATTGCCTTCTACTTTTTTAAAGCTTCTCTGTAGGCTTTTGTACCTGGCTCCTGGAGCATTTACCATATCTCCCCCAGGACTCACAGTACAATAGGAGAGATGCTGAGGAATTTTCGGGAAGAGGTAAATTGGAGCCCGTAGTCCATCTGTTCCCAGTGTGTCAGTAGCCGAGCCTTTCCTTGGTCAGGGGTCTCAAAGGGTGTCCCTTTCACCATATGTAGGAAGACATACATAGCCTGGGAGGAGAGAAGGGAGCAGTTTGAAGGGGCAGAATGTAGTTCTTTGGTCCAAGAATTAAGATCCTCCAAGGAAGACATATATCCCCAAATAATTGGGGATTTTCTCTTATTTTTGATTGGGGAAAGGCCTGGGGTGGGTATAGGGTGTGGTTTAGCGCTCACCAAGTTATGAATGACGTTGGTCAGGGTCCAGACGACGGGAATGCTGAAGAAGGGGATGCTGAGTAGAACCACATGCAGCAGTCCTACCAAGATGATGTAGGCCAGCCAGATGCCCCGGCTATTCATCACTCGAGTGTTGGGGTTTACTTCGCTGTGTGCCACCCCCACATTCATCCTACCACAGGGGGGATCAGGTAGGAGTCCACCTCAATTTCCTCTCAACCCCTCTTTGATTTTTTTTCTCCCAATATTGCCTCCTCAATTGCCCAAATCTCCTGAACTCTGTTAGGAATGAAAGAACATCCCCATCATGCACAAATGAAGAACTGAAGACGTTGCAGGGCGGGAGGCTAGACGAGTCCTTTCTACATCTTAGAGACATATGATAATCTTATATTCTGATTCTTAAACTTCAGCTGTAACTTGAAGGAGTAAGCCTAGGCATCAGGCACCCGCGTCAAGGGGCAAGGGAAACAAGTATCTCACTTTTTCCCTTAAGATAATGAGGAAGCATGAAGAGGTTGCATACACCCAGCATTCCAGAAGAGGGTCATGGGAAACAAGGGTTCGTTCACCAAGGAGGGGTGAGGGGGTAAGGCTACTTCCAATCCCCACCTTTAATCTGGTGTTTGCCCGCTCTGCCTCGCATCCCCTTAGCATGTAACCAGCCAGCATCCCAATTCCTTCTCTCAAGCGTGGGGCATTGGAAGAATTTAGGACAGGCGTAGTGAGGAGGAAGGGATGCCCAGGGTTTTGGATTGAGCTGGGAGGGAACTTGACTTGAGTGCCTCCAGATGGAGCCCTAGCCCCTAATCCAGGGGCGGCTCAGATCATCTAAATTTGGCTCCTTAAAATCATGCTAGTCAAGTTGATCATGTCCAGTTAGGAAGCAGCTCTTGCCCGCCCTTCTCTACCAAAAATTTCCTAAACTCACACTGAGTCTGCCCCATGCTTCTCGTAAATCGGCTCTCTTCAGCGCTTCTCTCTGTTTTTAACTCGCCGCCCCTCTACCCCCCGCCCGCCTCCCCTTTCGCCTCCCACCATTTTTTTCCCTCAGCATCCCTTGCCACTCTCTCGGGAAGGCCCTACCTGCGAGCTTCGGAAGCCGATCGCAGCGCAGGCTTCAACACCTGCGGTCTCCAGGAAGCAGCCACCCTCGCCCATCTGCAGTCTCCCTATTGGTGGAACAGAATTAGCGCTGCCGCCACCCACTGGCTGGTGGTCTGCAATGGAGAATCACAATTGGCCGCCTTTTCCGTCGTTCGGTAGTTGCAGAACCCGCCCCTCTCCCTGCCCCATATTTTGAGAGAGGTTGGGAAAGCTGCCTAGAGGAGTGAGAGGGACGCTAGATATTGACGAATGGGAAGAGTGGATGGTATGAGGTGCTAGTAAGAGTGACAATGATTGGTTGGCCCAGGTTGTCCGCTCCTAGGCGGGAGCTCCTGGAAGCGGAGGCAGCGGGTGGGGACCTTGTGGAGTAGAGGGGTAACAAGATGGCGGCGGAGACGGTAGAGCTTCATAAGCTGAAGGTACCGTGAACGAGGGAAAGGGCTAACTGGAACTTTTCTGGGGACTGAATTATGCGGAGTGGTTTGTTCCTTTTTCTATGTGTTCTCCTTGTAGGCTTTTCCACTTTTTACCGGCTCCCTCTGTAGTTCTTTTGTGCTTCCCTCCTCACTACGTCTGTCCTAATTTCTCATGCTCCTCACGGTTTTATTGTATCTACACTTGTTATTTCTGCTCCTTTCTCATCGTAGTATCGTCCGTCACTTCCACCGGGGTGTGTAAATGCCTTCAACCTGATCTCTCCTTGTTTTTCGTCAGAGATGCGTTACGTCAGTGGTTCCTTCCTCTCTGCCCCATGCCGGACCCAGTACCCCTTTTCCTTCCCTGGGTTGATGCTTTCCTACCTATTGTCCCAAGCTGGGATTCCCTTTAGTAGAGGTTGGCATCTTTGTGTATTTCTATCTATCTAGGTCTCAAACATGATCCAGAAAATACTCCACTCTTTTTTTTTTTTTTTTTTTTAAGATGGGGTTACGCCCCCAGGGGCAACTTTGAAACCTGAGGAGGGGCCTCAGATTATAGACCTCACCATAGACACTTGGGGTTTAGGAACCTTTTAGAGTTAATGAAGGCACAGGTAGCTCGGATTTAAAAGTTTTTCGAGTTCTCACGCGGTTCTCCTGCGGCCAGCCTCCCTCCCCCCACCCCACGCCACCGCCATACAGACAACTCAGTTTAGCTGTAATATTTTAGAAGAACATTTCCAAGGTTAGAGTTATCTCTGTCCCCATTTCATATCACGGATGTTCCCTGCATCTCTTGATATCACCACTGGGTGACACTCTCAATCACCTGTTTTAAGTCGTGTCTTGGGAACCTTGATGGCTTTCTCATATTTACATTATTTTTTTTTTTCCTGGAAGAAAAGAGTAGTTTCTTTTAGAGTGAGTTATGAGAATACTGTGTCCATTTATGGTTTCACAAGTAGTTTTCCCATTAAATGTTTTGGTCACATCATCCTGGAAGCCTTGGACAAACCGTGTTGATTTTGCTGAAGTTGTAAACCTACCCTTTAAAGCTTGTTGAGCTTAAAAATAAAAAAAAAAATTAAAAAAAAAAGAGTTAGGGTAGGGAGAGGTCCTTTGGTTACTTTTTAGTTGATATCAATTAAATTTTTTGTGAAAGCTGATGGATTTCTTACTCTTGGATTCTAATCTGTACCGGGGGGTTTTTGTGTCATACTGGACTTACTGTTAACTTGGTGGTACTGAAACGTGTCGATTATATCAGTGGTTTCCTATTTCCAAAAGTAAAAAAAACTGATCAGCCACTTCCACTATATGTATACTTACGTAAATTATGTTTCCTTACTGTCATGTATGTTACAGAACATACACAGAAAAGGAATGTTTGAATGAATGTGATAAAAAGGAAATATGAATAGAAAATCAAATATTTTCTTCCTATTAGTCCCATTTTTAAAACCCCTTTAAGTAAGGCGCCAGCCTTGTGACTTACCTTTATGGATTTTGTATTGGTTTATGGAGTTCCTTCTTCCATAAAAGCTATATTTGTTTGGACTGTATTAAATTTTATTTTGATTGTATAATATCCTCTGACCTGATTTCAAGTGTCATAGTCTAAGAGAACGTGAGGCACTCCTGACAGCCTAAAAAGGATTCATTCTTTTAATCACATTTTGCTTGTCTTTGCTTTTTCTCTAGAGCACTTCTTAACCTTTTGGAGGTCACAGATATCTTTGAAACTCTCATGAAAGGTATGGACCCTCTCCCCAGAAAAAGGCATGTACACATACTTTGCATGCGATTTGAGGGGCTTCATAAAATTACCTTTTAGCCCTGAGGAGTCCTTGGACCTCTGGTTAAGAATCCATGCCTTTAATTCTGACTTCCAGGACAGCTAATGTTTAGTTCCGCTGTTGATCTTGCTGGAGTAATCCTGACTTGGGTTGACTTAGAGTTTTTATCTTTTTTAAAAAGCCTTTCCATTTTTATAAAGAAGTTTTGGGCTTTTAGAATGGGATCTCAGAGAAAAGGAACAAGATTTGAAGAAGGAAGGAAAAATGCCTGAATTGATATGTAAGTCCACATCACCTGCAGGTTTCTCAAGATTTTGTAGATATGCCGTCATTCTAACATAGTTACAGAGACTGAATTGTGGGTGAAAATACAGTGAACTGTAATAGTTCACAGATTTCCAATAGTCTCACCAGATTTCCAATCAATGGTGAGAAAAGAGACTACTGTAGAGGAGAGAACGAGAAGGGTGTACTTACTAGTCTCAGAGTGTTGAAAAACAGTGAGATGTGTAATTTTGAAGTGTAAAGTGAATATGTGTTGGTGGTTGAAGACCATTTGTAAAGGGAACGAGGTGAATTGTGTGATTGTAAAGATAGATTAGAGTGAAATTGAAAAAGGCCTTTTAAGTTGTATATGGCATTTGGTTTTTGTCATGTATGCAGAAAGTGGGGAGCCTTTGGAAATTTGAAAGAAGGAGCTGATGTGATCCATGTGTGTTCTTTTGGCACTTTGGAGGATGGGGTCTGGAGAGGGAGAGATTTCCCCAGTTACATTTTAAATATACTATTCACATCCCTGCTTAAAACCTTTTAACTTTATACCTGCCAATCTCTCCAGCTTAACTTCTCACACTCCAACCACATTGGCTTTATTTCATTCCTCAGCATGAATGTGTCCATTAATTGCTAACACTTACATAACATTTACTATGTGGAAAGCACTTGTCAAAGCTATTTACATACATTAACTCATTTAATTCTCAAAATAGCCCTGGAAAGTAAATGCCTCTATTATCCCCATTTTAACTGGAGAAAAAAACGGAAGCCCAGAGAGATTAACTGAGTAACTTGCCTTAGGTCCCACAACTAATTAATGAGTGGTGGATCAAATCCAGGCAGTGTGTCTTCAAAATTCATGTTCTCTTTTTTTTTTTAAGAGCTTTTTCCCAAAGATTATTTATTTATTTATTTATTTATTTTTAAAGTGGAAGGGAGGGAGAAAGAGAAAGAAACATCAATGTGTGGCTGCCTCTTGTGTGCCCTGCATAGGGGACCTGTCCAGAACCCAGGCCTGTGCTCTGACCGGGAATCAAACCAGTGACCCCTTGTTTTGCAGGCTGGAACTCAATCCACTGAGCCACCACAGCCAGGGCCAAAATTCATCTTCTTAATTGTCATGTACTCCTTACCTCAGAACTCAGAACCCTTACAGGGGTGTCCACACTTTGGCATCTCTGGGCCACACTGGGAGAAGAAAAGTTGTCTTGGGCTATACATTAAATACATCATGACATGTAATCACAAAAAAATCTCATAATGTTTTAACTGAATTTATGATTTTGTGTTGGACTGCATTCATAGCCATTCTGCGACGCATGTGGCCCAGTGGCTGTAGTTTGGGCACCCCTTCAGGCTTACAGCATGCTTTTGGCTGCAGTGTTCCTGCTACCCCCATTCTCCACATCTTCATCTAACTGCTAGTTGTTCAGATGTCAGTCATCTACCTAAGGAACCCTTAGGTAGGCTAGGTTCTCCCTATTCACACATGGTCAGATCATTTATTTATTTATGTAGCCTTTTTTAACTTATTTTTTTAATTGTTCAAGTACATTTGTTTCCCACCACCACTTTCCCCTGCCCTACGCACTCCCACCTCCCATCCTCAATCGTTCCCCACTTTGGCTTTGTCCATGGGTCCTAAAGATACTTGTTCTTTGACTTGACCATTCCCCTTCTTTTCCACACTACTCCCCTCCCCTCCCCACCCCTTACTATCAGTTTGTTTTTTCTTTCAGTGTTGCTGGTCATATTTTTCTTGCTTGTTTGTTATGTTGATTAGGTTCCAGATACAGGTGAGATCATACAGTATTTGTCTTTCACCCCCTGGCTTATTTCGTTTAGCATATAATGCTCTGCAGTTCCATCCACGCTGTTGAGAAGGGTAGGATTTCCCTTCTTTCTGCTCTGTAGTATTCTATTGTGTAAATGTACCGTAGTTTTTTGATCCCCTCATTTATTGATGGGCACAGAGGTTGCTTCCAGTACTTGGCTGTTGTAAATTGTGCTGCTATGAACATTGGGGTGCGTAGGTTTTTTTGAATTGGCGTTTCAGGATTCTTAGGGTATAATCCCAGCAGTGGAATTGCTGGGTCAAAAGGTAGTTCCATTTTTCGCTTTTTGAGGAAATTCCAAACTGTTTTCCACAGTGGCTGCACCAGTCTGCATTCCCACCAACAGTGTACTAGGGTTCCCTTTTTTCCACAACCTCACCAGCATTTGCTGTTTGTTAATTTGTTAATGATGGCCATTCTGACTGGTGTAAAGTGATATCTCATTGTCGTTTTAATTTGTGTCTCTCTGATGGCTAGTGATGCTGAGCATCCTTTGATATGTCTCTGGGCCCTGTATATGTCCTCCTTGGAGAAGTGTCTGTTCAGGTCCTTTGCCCATTTTTTAATTGGATTGTTTGTCTTCCTGGAGTGGAGTCTTGTGAGTTCTTTATATATTTTGGAGATGAAACCCTTGTCCGAGGTATCATTGGCAAATATATTTTCCCATACGGTTGGTTCTCTTTTCATTTTCCTGATGTTTTCCTTAGCCGCACAGAAGCTTCTTATTTCAATGAAGTCACATTTGTTTATTCTTTCCTTTATGTCCCTTGCTCTAGGAGACATATAGGTGAAAATATTGCTGCTTGGAATATCTGACAGTTTTCCTGCCTATGTTGTCCTCTAGGACTTTTATGGTGTCATGACTTACATTTAAGTCTTTTATCCATCTTGAGTTTATTTTTGTGTATGGTGTAAATTGTTGGTCAGTTTTCTTTTTTGTGTGTGTAGCTGTCCAGATCTCCCAACACCATTTGTTGAAGAGGCTATTTTTACTCCATTTTATGCCCTGCCCCCGTTGTCGAAACCACAGAGACATGGGTTTATTTCTGGGCTTTCTATTCTGTTCCATTGGTCCATATGTCTGTTTTTATGC